ACCTCGAGACGATTTATCAGCAGGCACAAGTGACCCGTGAGTTTAAGAACCTCTGCAAAGACGGCGCAGCGGCTGTCCTGAAGGCCTTGGGCCATGTTCTGCATCTGCCCTACCCAATACCATCTGACCAAACATCATCTGACTGGCATAAGGCCAACCCCGACCTTCAAAGCTCGGCGGTAGTGGATCAATGGTATATGCTGTGCCCAGCGTTGGAACACAGTACGCGTTTCATCAGTCCCAACCGTACCAGAGGCACTTTTGACGACGCTTCCCAGTCATGGATCAGGGCCAAAAACCATTTCGTTCTCCGCCTTGAGTTTGGCTTGGCTTCCCAGACCATCCAAGATGTCTTAGCACATGAACTCGGAAAGGCCCTCCTATCTTCACGTCAAAAGGCGAAGGACGACGGAGCAGGAGACAACGATGTCATCAATGTATTCATAAATCGCACCAGAGAAGAAATCCAGAAACGCAACCGGCCTGGCCCAAAAGGCAAAGGGAAACAGCGCAAAGGCAAAGGGAAAGGCCGCGGAGGCGGCAAGGGCAACGCTCAATGAGCTCCACCCTGGTCTCACCCTGGTTCGGGATATCGTAGACACACACACACACCAGTTAGGTTTGACAGCAATCACTTTGACTCTAACGTCACCGACAACCACACGACATGCTTCTGTAGCGGCACACGTTCCTCCATGTGTTGACATGATTTCATCCCGGACCACTAATCTAACTGGAATTCACACGTTTCACCACCTTGACGCCATGTTGGACGATGGGCTGCGGATTTACAACTTTTGAGCATCTTGGTTCTTGCACTGGTTTCTTAGGCAGCCGACCCAAACATCGTAGTCGTTCGTTGCAAATTAATTCGAGGTCTGGACTCTGCGATTCGACAGGCGACCCAGGCTATCCACAATGGTGTGCACTATATCCAGGAACTCCTCACCACCTTTGGGATGATGCATGCCTTGAATTGCGACACCACTCAAGTGGATGCTGAACTACGTGGATGCTCGACCTTTCCTGACCCCCGCCTTCCGTCTTTTCCTGCTTCTCCTCTGGGCCCGACTACGACTCAAAGTATGACATCTACCAGTTCCATTCCGGCGGCACCACCGATTCCGCCACCGAGAACCCCTACAATTCGTACTCCGCATCGGCCTGTGATTAATCGATCCAGTACCGCACCGTCACGCTCTCGGTCTCACCCTCGTTTGAACTCTAGAAATCTCTAGATACCTCTTTCGCTCACTCTTCCAATCACGAGAGAAAATGTCCTTCCCTTTTATGTTTCCAACTTGCTCATGTGCTTAGAGACACCTTCTCACAACTCTACGCATTTGTTTCGTGTGGCTCTCAGCTTTCCCACGCCCTATACCTCACCCCTTCGAGCTCGCACTCCTCGCTCCTTTTCGCCGCCATGTCGATGCCATCCACGACGACCCCGACTAGACCTACGGGATTGGCCTCAATCGCCGGCCTACCTGCTGCTGCTCATGAGGTACTTCATCGTGAACTCCTTCACATACACTCTTCTTTACACTTGATTCTTCTGATCTTACGTGGACCTCTGGATTCCGTCACTCCCTCCATTGTGGACACGATCACCTGCCCTCGTCTCAGCGCTACCCTTCGTGCACTGGAGACCAGCATTGAACAGATTCGACGATCTACCTGCACTACATTGGTCTACGCCGATCAACTATGCTCCACTTTGGCATTTCCACATCCTATTGGCCACTCGGTTTCCTCTCCTACATCCTTTTCTTCACCCAGACCCTCTCTTATCCTCTTTCCTTCTCCTCCTTCTCCACCTGTGACGACGACGATGACTACGACCGCGGATCCCTCTCCTCCTCAAGCCCCTCCTCCTTCTCTGACTCCTTCGGTTCCACCTACGACCTTGACGAGGATGCCAAGTTCTCACTCACCCTCTCGTTCACGATCCCCTCCGCGACGATTCAGACTTTAGCCGATTTCTCACCAACCGAACCACTTACTTTTTTGCAGAAAAAAGCTTTCCTTGTCCACTGTTTTCTGCTTTATGATTGATCACCCATTTATTTTCAATTTGGTCCTTCGGTTTCCTCGCCGACCTTACTCCTATCTCTTTTCCTATGTTATCTTCGGCTCGCTAGCGACTGCTCGTCTCGCTCCCGCGTTTCTTATTGCCTTTTCTGCCATGGCTTCGACATCTACACCACCTTGTGGTTTGGCACCGATTCCAGGTCTTCCACCTCGTGCTCAGGCAATGCTACATCGTGAACTTCTACTCGTACATGTCCTCTTGGCCCAGGTCCATGCCCTGCTCCACATCCCACTCAGCATTCGCGCTATTCCGTTCATGTCTCGGGTAACACACCCACAACTTCGAGCTCACCTTGAAGGCTTGGACAATACGCTCCTTCTCGCTCTTCGTCTCAACCACACCGCTGTCCACTACACCCATGAGCTCCTCACCGCCCTGGGCCTCCTTCATATTATTCAACAGAGCCCGGAACAACTTGAAGACGAACTTGAAGGCCACACAGACTTTGGCGATCGGGCGCCCCTCTCTACACAATCTGATACGCCTCACCCTATTACGACTTCATCGCGAACTACCAGGACCCACAACACCACTGCCCGGATGCCTATCTCTCCTAGTCCTCCGCCCTCTCGCCATGTACCACGACCTCGTCTTCACATACGCTCGAGATCTCGCTCTCGCCCTCGTACGACCAGATCTTAGCCTCTCAGTTTCACCTCACACCTTGCCAGACAGCACAAAAGGAATGTCTTACACTGCGCATCATTCTGTTTATCCCTTCCACCTCTTTCCTGTATTTTCCAGTTCACATTTTATTTCCTTCTCTTTCCTTATGGCTCTAGACCTTGTGACAAGCATTTTTACACGTTGAATTTCATTCTTTTTTCACTCACATTTTGGGGTGTTATTCCATTTGCTTCTATCTCCGGGCGTTTTCTGACCTCATGGCGAGCTCTGGTTCTTCTCTGGAATCTACTCGTCCTCATTCACGACGTGATCTTCGCCGCAGTTCTCGCTCCAGGGATACCAGACCTCCTGCTCATCATGAAGAAGCTGATTATGGTGACGAAGAGATCACTCCCCTGCCATCCATCAACCCACCACCCGGCACTGAAATTGCACGCGGCATTCCAGATCCACCACCGCATTCCGACCCCACCACGGGCGACTCTTCTCACCACAACATCACCACTTCCGCCCCACCCTCAAACCCTCGTCCTCCCCAGTCTTCTTTCACTCGTTCACAATCCACTCCAACTTTTCCACCCACTCCACCTGCACATCTTACCGGTCCATTCTTCCCACCACCACGCGTCCAAGCACCACGCCCACGACCTCCACTTTCTCACCCACGTGCCACGGGCCCACCGCGCCTCAATCCATATGCGCCGCGACCACGCCCCAGGCAACCTTCTCCCCGCGACCATCGCACATCGCGAACGACACGTTCACCACTTACACGACACCATGATCGACGTCGTTCTCCCAGGAGCCGCTCTGCCCACTCTCGCCGACACCGTGGACATCGACACCGCTCACCTGCAGCATCACGCTCCCGACGGGACGACCGTCACAGTCGCCGTTCACATTCTCGGCGACACCGCTCTCGCACACACCAACGAGAGCAACCATTTCCCCCCCAGGAGCATCGTCGCACCTCCAACCTTCCCCCAACACGTTCCAGATCTTGCCATTCCAGCCATCATCATGGCAGAGCACGGGCATACCAGCCAACACCTCGCTCAGCTCCTCGTGCCACTTCGCACGGCACACCTGTCTCGCCTCCTGCCTCCGTTCATCCTCCTTCTGACCGGGACTCTTCGGTGGCGCCCCCTTTGGTACTACTACCTGGACCTGGCGATCGACCACATCCACAACCTACACCTCCTGTTTCCGCCTCAATTTCACGACCTACCACTCCACCACAGGCATTTCAACCTCCTCCGGCTACACCACTCACTGCCCTCCCTGCTTCTGAGGCGGAGGAACTTCGCCAACTCCGCCTTCAATTTCAACAACAACAACATGCCGCTCATCGCCTGCAACAACAGGCTCTCTTTCACTCTCCCTTCAATCCTTTCTTTCCCCATTCCAGTTCTACCTTCCTCCACCCTCCTTACCCACTCCCACAGCTCCACCTTCCCATCCACCCACCGGCCCTCCACCCGCCAATGTTCCTCCAACAGCCCCAGAACCAGCGCCAGCTGCCACGGAACCCGCCGACCTTTCCATCTCCCTCTTCCCCACTCAAGCGTCCACCCAGCCTCCAACTTCCACCCAGGCAGATTCGACTGAGAGAGCCGGGCCCCTGCGGAGAGAGCCGGGCCCCCGGCGCCGACCACGCGCGCCGCAGCCCCTTCTGCAGTCTCTGGGCACTGCGCCGGCCACTGCGGAGAGAGCCGGGCCCCCAGCGGCGACCACGCGCGCCGCAGCCCCTTCTGCACACTGCGGAGAGAGCCGGGCCCCCAGCGGCGACAACGCGCGCCACAGCCCCTTCTGGAGGCAGCCCCTTCTCGAGGCTCTGGATACTGCGCCGGCCACTGCGGATGTGAGGTGTGACAAGAAGGGCGAATAGATGAAGTTGTGAGTGGATATGTGAGATGAGAAGAAGTGTGTGCGTGTGTCCGATGATGAGATGACAAGCTGAGTGTGATGAGATAATTGTGTTGTGTGTGTGAATGTGAGAATGTGAGATGAGAAGAAGTGTGTGTGTGTCAGATGATGAGATGACAAGCTGACGAATAGATGAAGTTGTGAGTGGATATGTGAGATGAGAAGAAGTGTGTGATCACAAGATGATTGTGTGTGTAACAGAAGGAGGGAGGGGAGGGAGGGAGGGACGGACGGCGGGAAGGACGGAGTCGGGCGGGATGGCAGCCAAAAAACTAATTAGAACCCCACACAGAGATGTGGGGAACAAAAGGGAAAGGCCTTGTGTTTTATGGTGTTTGTTTTTATTGGAAGCCAGGACATTGAAGGACTTTTTCAGATGCTGGACTACGATGGTGGAGGCTCCTTGGACACTTCCGAGTTCTGTGAAGGCCGGGGAGTGAGTTGTGAGGTTGCAGAAGTTCAGGTTAAGGTCTATCCGACTGAAGCTTTTGGTAGGGCCTGAACCTAAATGCGGTTACTAGCAAAGCTTTTCAATGATTCAAATTCGTTCCATTCCACTTGGCTCATTACCATGTGAATTTTCATTCAGCATCGTTCAGTGCAGCCCTCAAGAGAAGACTTGTCCTAGAAGAGCTCACCTTGCTTTCCTTGCTTTGTGAGGGACATCTCATCCTTGCGAGCCTGCAGCAGTCCGCATTATGTTTTCAGTGCCATAGTTCCACAAGTTTTGCAAGCCAGGGCTACCCTCCAATGCCCAAACAAACGACAAAATTACACAAGAACCGATTTCAGCCCGAACAGTGGGGTGAGTTGATGTCAGGTGTCCTCAAAGCCTCTACCAGCGAGAAGCCTTTGGAGCTAACGCGCTTGGTCAAGCAGTGCTCCGACATTCTGCGACTCTGCCACTTGGTACCGAGCTGTAAGCGGAAGACCAGGCTGCCATGTTTTCTTCCTTTTAGACCAATGAGAGCTTTTCCTTTTGCACCGTTGAGCCATAGGCCGGAACATGTATGTGAACCAGAAGCAGAAGACAGCAGGAGCGTGTCCCAGGGCATTTTGGAATTCCAGCTTAGAGGGAGATCATGGGAGAGGATATGGGCCAAGCCTAGTGCCAATGCTGGTCTCCACTTTGGGATTATTGATCTATTTATATATATATATTTATCATTTTTTTCAGAGGCTTTGTCGGTAAAACCCAAGGTGCTGAGCCACATGTGTGCTGTGGATTTCTGACGTGAATATTGTTTACCTGCCAAGCTAACTCCTGCTGGAAGGAGATATGGAGAAAGAGTTGAAGCAGCTCCAAAAGAACGTGGACATCATGCAGATGCTTGGACAATGCTTGGACAAATACTCTTGCAGAGTGCGTTGCCAATGCCACCACTCAAAAGGAGCGCGCGAAGCTAGGTGTTCAGAGTTCAGACCCTTGTCCCTGAGACACACAAAGTCACGCAAAGATGCGGTACGAGCAGGCCATGAATGCAAGGCAGCCAGCCAATCTGAGGCAGAGAATGAATGAGCAAATCGAGAAGCTGCAGAGTGATGTGGGCCGAATCATGAACTCTCTTGAAGTGCCTGGCCGCTAGAGGTAACGAACTCCTGCGACACATGACTTGGGAGTCATAGAGAGGGATAGACGGCAGAATCCTTTGCGTGCGCTCAAGCTTTCGATGGAGTTGCATGTACTTGCAATCTGAAGCCAGCATTTTCATTGGCATTCTGTTCGAGTCTTGTTTCGATCATTTGTCACTGGCAAACCTTCAACCTTTTGTGCCTCTCACTGGCTTATGCGCAGGCTAGTGTGAAATGCTTTTGAACCACTTTGTGCTCAGACAAGGTTTGGGCTATACAAGGTTTGGGCTCAGACTTTTACCTTCTGGCAACACATTTGTATACAGAGTTGAAACCACCCGTCTATTCTTCAGCTCTTGCAGAATCGGATGTTTATTCGGTGCTTAATGCATGAACAAAGCTTGAGCTCGCGAGTGCTTGTTGCAGTGGTCTTCCAAGATGCGACAGACTCATTTCTGAAAATCGTTCCACCACAAATCACACAAATTCAAGCTGACAGTGCTTTCCTTGTAATGCAAAGTTGCCATTGCCAAGAGCAACTGGACAAAGCCACTGTGTTAGAGGTTTGGTTTGCAATGAAAGCAACAATTTCACAGTGGTTAAGCCCATACTTCCAAAAGAGTAAGCTCCCCCGAACTACATGGTAAGTGCATACTCCAGTGGACATCTTGAAGGCATTGTGTAGATCGTCCCTGGGGCCTTGCTCCGGTCTTGCGAAGCTGACACCTGTTCAGTGCTGCTCGGGCCCTTCGGACCATGTCCCACTGCTTGGTGGGAGCTGTCTTGCTGCTCGCAGGCGATTTCCACTGAAGGAGTTTAGACTCAACACTCCCAGGACCACCTGTTCCACCGGTTGCCACTTTCGTGCTGAGAGATTTGCATGCCAAGCGAGTCAGCCGTTGCATGAGATGTCAACGATTCTTGGAGCTCTATGATGAAGCAAGCCATCATCTCTGAAAGATTAACCACTAACAGTGCAGTCTATTGCTGTTGAAGCAGTTCTCGAGTTCTTGGAATGACAAATTCGTTTGACCAGACTACTGCGTCAGTAGGTTTTGAGCCTGCAGTTTGCCAGGGTTGAAAATCCCGCCCTCCCGATGAAGCGGCCGGGTGGGAGCAATCTGCTCTATGGCAACAGCTCAGGGCGACGCAAAATGAAGCTCGCTTGGTCGCTTTGGATCGGTTTCTGGAAGTTTCGTCGTGGAGTGACGGATGTGGGTTCAGATGATGGACATGAATTTGGAGTGGTGCTCATACGCCATGCTGAGCAACTCTGAGCAAAGGTGAGGAGTTTGAGTGCGTTCTGAGTGGACTTTTCTCGCCCGTCCAAGGGTTGGTGCCTATAGTGAGCACGAACTTCACACGATGATTCATGACCTGATTGCGAGTGAGATTCTTCCACAGCCCACAATGGCCTCACACCATGTTGTTTAGCTTGATAAGTTGAGAAGCAGCAAACGAGAACTCACAGGCTTTAGACGGCCTTAGGCCTTAGGCTTTTTGTGTGACCCATGCGTGCGTCGTGGACATGGATGGCCATCTTGGAGAGTGCAGCCGAAGGTCTCAGTGCCACAAGCGCTACGAATGCACTGTGGCATGGGACATGTTGGCAGGGACGTGGTCGAGCCCAGGAACCATGCCCCACCAACCCTAACAGCACTGTTTGAAAGGACACTGACACTGAATCCATTTGTAAAGCAGCAATGGCTCCCTCTCTTGTATTCGTAACTCTAGAGGGTTCTGGAACTGAGGTGCTCAGGCCTGTTGCGAGCTCTGCTACGAGAAGGCCAGCTTGATTCTCAGCAGTCTCTTCTTGACTTAGTTTGGATTGTTTGTTTGCCAAACTATGTGTGTCGGGTGAAGCCGGCAGGCTCTTTGGTGTTGAGCACATTGTTTCTTGCTTACAAACTTGATGTCAGACTAAGCAATCTGATTCGTGGCTGACTCCTGCGTTCTTCTTTTATGCTCACACATGTGTGCAGCTTTGCATTAGTATGCTCAAAGGATGTAGAGACTGTACTCAAACTCAAACGGCCATTGCAATCTGCATGTTTTGAGCCAAGCTTAACATGTCAGTGAAGGATTCGAGAGACACCTTTACGAAACCTTTATGCGTTTGGCCAAGGTTGTTTGGCTGCTTCATACCGAAGCTCCACCGAGGAGTTCAGTCGCAGCTTGAGTCACCTTTGACCCAGTCATTTCGGTGGACAGATCTTCAGGGATGCCAAGATGTAGCACGTAAGAATGAAGACATGCCAATTTGGAGAAAACTTCCTTAAGCTTCCTTAAGCTTCCTTAGGCTTCCTTGCTTTGTGATAACATCATTTTTGAGGGACCCGATGAGTCTGCTTGTCAAGCGCTGACCACGAAGAGGAGTGTCTGCTGGGTGGTGCGCGGTATCCTGGAGGAGTGCAGCATGATGTTGAATTTTGCTTTCCTTGTCAAACATCAGACATGGGCCTTTCAGGATCCGCAGATCGCGCAGATGTGCTGGCGTGCAGTCCACGAAAAGCAGCATGTGATTTGAAGGAAGGCTGGTGGCAGCGGCAGAGGGTTCGGAATGTTTGACAGGGAATGGCCTCTGGTCCCGTGATTTGTCAGAGTGGCTCTGGGAACGATTTGGGGTCTCGAGAGAACACTCACATGCTCACAGAGCATTAGGAGAGGCCATGGAGCGTCATGCAAACCAAGGTTTCATGGTGCAGTTGCTCATTTCGTCTCGTCCAATTTCTGAAGGTGCTGATTATATCGCGGCTCGTGGATCGACGGTCAAAGGTGCCTTGCTTGAAGAAGTTTGCGCATTCACGGTTTTGCTGGAAAGGTTCAAAGTTCAAAGATGGTGACATACCGACGGTGATATTCATCAATGCAGGTTTTGTCAGTCAAGATGCAAGAGGGGACCAGAACCCCATTTCAGGCCCTTGCTTGTGAGAAGGTGTCCATGCGCCATTTCAAATGCCAAGCAAGCCGCTCAATATTTTTCTCAAGTCCAAGTGTTGAGACATCAATGTTCTTGAGGGTTCACTTCCAGAGTCTTACCAGTTCTGTATCCGGGTGTCTCTTGCTTTGATGCCAACTGTTTTGCTCAGCCGCTAAGATGTGCACAGCACTGAGCAATGCTGCGCGCTTTGCGCAACATGGGAAGATTGCAAGGCCCACCGAAGTTGTAGATGATTGGTGGACTGAGAAGAAACTAGCTGCAAGGACGAGACAACTGTTAGGTCGTGTCATGAGTTCTGGTGGATGATAACACCTACTCCGAAGGCTTGAACAGTTTGGAACCGACTGCTTTTGCTTCAAATCGCCCCAACCCACCAGTAGAAAAATCCATAAAAATCCCATAAGGCCTACTTGCCAGGTTGGTATTTGGGATTCTCATTGGCATGAGTGCCTTGGATTGTCAGATGATCAGAGACTTATATAGGTCCGGTCAGTGCGTGTTTGATGATCAGAGAGGGACTTGTTGGAGATGTGGAAGAAGAGTTTTTGCTCCGATTCGAAAGACGGCCTTGACTTGAAAGGAGCTTGTCCAGTCGTGGAGTAGCGAAGGAGTCCATGCCGTTGGGCTCCGAGACATGACTTGAACATGGTGTTTCTTCCGTGGAAGGTGCTACTTGAAAGCTGGTTTCGTGTCCGAGCGCCAAAGCAGCAATCCGTTCCTCGGCTCTCAGAGCCGGACCGAAGGCTCTCGATGCCTCCGACCGATGCCTTCGGCGCGCTCCGAGGATTGTGGCCTGTGTGGCCCGTGGAAAGATCGAAGCACCGGAGGTGTCGGCCTCACCTGGAAAGATCGGAGCGACCGTTTGGGCGCCCTGCTATGGGCGCTGCGTGGCAGAATGTTTGAGGGGTTTATGCGGCACAGTGTTGCGGCTTTGTGAGGTAAGGTATTGGAAACAACAGGCTTTCAGATCCAAGGCAATGCATCACGGCCGGTGCTTCTAGATGGTGCGGAGACTTTGATAGACATGGGAAGTCGTCTCATCAAGGACGGCACATACCCAGCTGTTCAGTTGTTTCAGTTGCGCTGGATGCAGAGAGAAGAAGGAGAAGAAGAAACCGTCATTTGTTGCATCCTTTCCAACATGTTCAATGTAAACTAGTTGGGTATCATATAGAGAAAGAGAGAGAGAGAGAGAGAGAGAAAGGTTGGCCTTTATGAGGTGTTGGTCTTCTGCTTTCGCCCCACTGACCACCACAGTCAAGCATATAGATACAAGCATATTCACAGCAGTCATGAACATCCTGGGAAGGCGCAGAACATTTGGCCCTATAGTTATACGAACCTGAGGATCAAACAGTCTTTAGGATGGACTCTTTTACGAACCCGCACTTTTCCAACCTGCGCAGATCGCGCTTTTTCGACCTGCGTGGAACTATGCGGTGAATTCTGAATGGCCATCGGACGAGTCCTTTCCAACTTTGAAGTCGGTGGCAGTGCATGAGCACTTTCGGCATCTTTGGGACGCATGGCAGAAAGACGCGTGGCAGACGCACGTGTCCTTTTGGCTCAGGGTCCAGGTCGTCATAGATATGTCCACTTTTGGAGACTCCTGTCCTGCACTGTTTCGAGTAAGAGGCTTTAAACTTCGAACATCTAAATTCAGCCTCTTCACACCCAAGCTTGGTTTCTGTGCTCACCTAGGAGATGGACTTTGACACCTATGTGCTCGTCGCTTATTCAACAGCAGGCCAAAAGAGCTGAGCTCAAATGCCACCATGAAATGACGTTTCAGGCGTTTTCTTTTTCTGGCCAGAAGGGGAATAAATTTGTAAAGCAACTGACCAGCACGTCTCCATGCATTCAGGAGGCAGGTCTGCTGGCAACATGGCAGCAGGTTACTGGGTGCAAGGCATCACAGAAGAGCAGGAGGCTGAAGAAGAATTGCAGCACTCTGGACTGAAGAGCATGATCTTGCCAGCATGCACTGGTCTGAACAAATGCATGTTGTATATGCTTGTACCGTTCTTTCATTGACATGATCTAGCTGCTCACAGAAATCAAACGCGCGAAGCAGAAATGGTAAACAGCATCATGTGAAGCTGCAAGCGGCGGACATGTGGCATGAATAGCATTGCTGGAATCCCATACTCTCCTGCTGCTTTTCTGGGGATTCCGACCAGTTGCAGTTTTGGCACTGGGAAAAAGCGTTTCTTTGTCTTGCTTGTTGAGAATCAAACCCATTCTTTTGAGGTTCTACGAAGCCGCTGCCTTTTTCCTGGAGACATATCCGCATAAGACCTTTGCCCGATCCTCGAGGCGTATGTACCTTTGAATGTCTTTGACACTCATACAAGCCTTGTAAGCACTGCAAAGCAGACTCATTTGCCTATTCTTTACAGTACCGGATTTGACCCGATTTGACTTCTAAGGTCTTCACCAACTGCATCTTGGCAGATCAGTGTTTTTGCGCATCATTTTCATATTCTCACCTTGGACAAATAGCACATTTTGCATGCCTGGCTAACACATTAGGACAAGATTGTGGTTGATCTCCAACTTCAGGTGAAGGTGATTGGGAGATCCGTGGCGGTTTGGGGGTACAGCGAGCACCCCATGAAGCTGCTTTCGCATCGATGGCCAGGCGTCACTTGTGTGAATCGGGTACTCTTTGTCAATTGCTTTTGAATCAATGGTATTTGTAGTGTTTCGATGCAACGACAAACGTAGAGCTATCAGAATCGCTGTGTCAAGGCAGCAGCAGACGCACAAGAAGTATGAACACCACAGGCAGCACACCACCACACACACACATCCACACACGAACAACACTGCAAGAGGAGCATGAAGAGGCGATGCCATGACTTTTCCAGTAGGTTTTGAGCCATTGTGTCGTACATGTCGTGAATTCATTGGATTTGATTCGCGTGGTCGAGCCATGACCTTTCGGCAGGTGGCTGCAGGCACGACAAGCCGGTGTCACGAGAGCCCGGCAGAGGCGTGGAGAAGATGCACTGAGGCATGTCAGGCAGTCGAAAGCTTTGGAGTACATATACCTTGTTTGTCCGAACTCGTCGTTTCACGAGTCTGCATGTGTTTTGATCTCTGAAGTGTATCTAGTAGCACTTGATTTGGAGAGTGGCTAGAACGGCATGTGAGTCAGAGAAATTCATCTCCCAACTGACACTGCTGTAGAGAGTGTTGATATCACCCTTGCGAGTGCAAGCATGCATTCCACTCGCTAATTTCCTCAAACTGGGACGGCTGGATCCGATTCACTCGCTCGAGGCACCGCATGCCAGGAGCAGTCACTTGGATTTCTTGATCTCGTCTTTTGGATTGACATCTTGCCATGCCATCAATGAGGTGGAACAGATAGAGGGGCACCAAAGGTCAGAGAGGTTGAAAGTTCCCTCATTGCTTTCATGGAAAACAAATTTCGCTTAGGCTGGCAACGTGTACTTGGCAGGGGAAGTGAACCTCGTTGCCGAGTCCCTCTTTGAGGGGAAGCCCAACGTGGTGAACCGCGTGTTGCCCTTCGTGCCGCTCGACGCCTTGACAAGCTAGAGAGCCACATATATTTAAGCACAGAAAGTCGTGCAGGCATAGGGGGTTGACGCGCACTTGTGCAGACTCCGGAGTCAGTTGACTGACTTTTTGATCCATCCATAGAGAGGGATTTTAAAGGCTGCCCAGCCGCTTTGTGACTCAGGCAGCTGGACATGGTCTCATACAGTCGCCTGACTGCATGGTTCAGGCTCAGTCAGCCAAACGGGCCCCTTCTGCACACCTTCTTTTGAGTTTTTGTGTTCTTTTCATTGGCTTTTGCTTTTCCAATTGACTACACCAAACAACAACCCTGTTCTAAGTCCAGCAGCATTCACACGTGCTGGATGACAGTTCCGAACATGTGGACACTGTGGCCTCATGCTTCGGGTTGCGCAACAAGCTGAGTATTCGACTTGTTGCGCTGGCTCAAACGCGGCACTGAGAAATTGTGGAGCTGTTTGGTGGGGCTAATGGCACTTCTTGTGGCACCTGGAGAGAAGGAAAGTACCGCTTCTTACGCAATATATCCAAACTCTCACTGGACCAGTTCCACAGTCAAATATAAATAATGCTCACTTTGACTTTGCCAAGAAGCAACTTTAGATGCCCATAAGCAAATCACTCCTAACTTCTACTGATCATTACTTTCCAGTGTATCTGAAAGGAGCCCCTTGGCTTGTTGCTGCTGCGTGCTTGTCGCTGAAAAAATGCCATGGATACTTGGGAATGGCCAGCAGAGCTTGACGAATTCTTGGAATACTGTGTGGAGGCAAGGCCCAGTCCTCTTGTTTTCCTTCTTCTTCATTATGGCTTGGGTGTCACCCTTTGGTGTTGTTTCGAGTTTCCTTCCTACTTTCCATGGCAATCAACCACGATCTCCGAACAGTGGAAAGTTGGCGCATGATGTTGGTGTCTGGCCCGGCTAGTCCCGTTAACTTACGTATCATATGACTGCATGTCTCCAGGAACATGGAGATGACTGGGCAGCAATCTCCAGGCACTGGGCGCAACTTCATGTGTCATGACATAACTACGCTTGGTCCTTTGCACTAAAACAACATCCTATACAAGTCGAAGCGTGTTCGCACTACCGGCATAAACACGACACGTCGAGTAGCTGTAGCTGAATGGCGTCTAGCTGCTCCTGAAGTCCACAGATACAAAGGACAGGGTTAGATGCAAGAGCATGAAGTGCGCACAGGACGTTCCTGGAAGTCGCGAGTGGGCTGGACGAGCAGTTGGCAGATCGCGCAGAAGAGGCTAGTTATATAGTATACAGTATACTTCCTTCTTGTGGGTCGCCCACAAGCGTTTCGGGTCAAGAACCTAGGTTCCACTGCTTGCGGGGAAGACGTGGATTGAGACTTGTGACTTGATATCAGAATCAGATTGAAAAGAACAGAATGAGAAAGGTTAAGTTTCCCTAAACATCTAGGAACCAAATGAATAGAAGCGTGAGCTATCCTGTGTCCATGGTAGTAGCTTAAGTAAGGTACTAGCTACCTCCCCCTTATTTAATCAAGTGGGCGCCCACTTAATTATATAAGTAGGAAGGGGGGGAGTGGGGTAAGAAAGAAATTGTTTTATGTTTAGTTCATAACTCAGCGAGGCCTTCTCTGCTGAATCGTTGCAGCAGCGCTACGTCTTGCTCCACGGGGCTCCCTCTGCGCCTTCAGCGCCCACAGACCCGGGCACGGAAGTGACGGAACTCACAGAGGTGGATTGGAAGGAGCACGCCTTAGCCGAGGAGACAGATGTGTTTTGATTGTCGTTTGGTTCCAGACAGCTCATAGCTCAGCTTCAAAGGCACTGAAGGACCATAGGTTTTGCGGGTGAATCATGATTCCCTGCCAAGTCTGCCAAGTGTATACTTGCTAGGGGCAGTTGAACCCAAGCAACAAACATCTAAGTGACTAAGTGTCTGTGAATTCTGGTTTTGCTGTGGACTCTGTGGACATGTTGCTGGAGAGGAGACGCCTTCGCAATTCTCCGTGCTGACAGACAGCTTGGAGGAGACAAGTGCATATTGCCGGCATTTCAGTCCAGAAGCGAGTGAAGTTTTTCGGAACATAGCCACAGCATCCCAAGGTCCCAAAGTTTGCTTGTTTAGATGCGAGTTTGCTGAAACATGAGGGCACCCCAACCCACCAACTTTGTCTATCTTCCTCATGAATGGGGATCTTTCGCACACCCTGTAGGAAGCCCAACAAAATTACTTTTCTTAATTTTTTCTCTTCTGAAGCAGATCACGACTTAGAATTTAGAGCCCTGCAAGTTTGAGCATACAGGTCCTTTTAGCACTGCGCTTTCTCAGCCCTGCAGGAGAGGGTAAGGCGCATTTACAACAACGTTCAGCTGAGATTACCATCAGTGTATGCGCGAGACGAAGAGGACTCGGAGCGTGCATCTGAGGTCGGGAGGCCTGAGAGTGAGGGAGAGGATGCTCTCAATGAAGCAGCTGTGCGGCTCTTTGGAAGTACTGACTACAGGAACATAGTGGAAAATTTGGCGGATGAAGATCAGGAACAACTTGATCTGTCTGATCTGTCCAAATCACCCCCCCATCGACAAGGATCCCTCGGGCTTGATTGCACGTGCCTTGCGTGGGGAGGAAGAGCCTGTGCAATCAAGTAGTGAGGATTCCGCCGTCGATGACTTTCGAGCCATGCGGCAGGCGGTCAAAGATTCAAGCAACCAGCTTGCTGATGATCCGCAGAAGCCAAAAAAGCCGCGGGTTCAGCCGAAGGTTCAAGTAAAACCCACATCAGCAAAACCAAAGCCGAAGCCAAAGGCTGCTCCAGGATTTGTTCGTTTGGAGCTGGTAGAAAGCTCCAGCGAAAGCGAGGAGGAGCCAGAGGAATCGAGTGAAGAAGAAGAAGGAGAATGGGACTCCCACCTTCGAGTTCTTGCTCGCTTGGAGAGTAAGGCACCAGACGGCGATTGTCCATGGGATGTGTGGCTCCAAGCAACCAGATCCTGGCCCCAGCTCAAAGCAAAGCTGAATTCCCCGGATTTCGGCCGCAAAGGAGGGGATCTTCGCGTCAAGTTTGATGTGGAGTTGTTGAAGAAAGTAACCCAAGAAGAAAAGCAGGCCCGGGCGGACGCTCGTCAAGCCAGAATTGAAAACATCGAGAACCAGAAGTCTCGAGTGAACGAATACATTGAAGAAGCGGAGCGGCGGCGTGAAATGATGAAGGGTCGCATTGGAGGCTACATTCTGGCGCCCAGAAACGAGAAGCTTGAGGAGACTTTGCGAAAGCAGAGTCACCGCCAGGAAGACCCCAAGCAAGGTGAGATAGTGAAGCCTCTGCCAAAACGTTTGCCCCAAGCAAGAGTCAATGGATCTAACAACACTCCGAAGAAGAGCCCCCAGGGAAAGGCAAATACCGACGCCCACAAGGCCAAAGAAGAAGCCGCACTTGCTCGAGATGAGCAAAAAGCCAAAGAGCGAAAGCAGAAGTTGGTTGACCTCGTGCAGCAGGTACAACAACACCGCATTCCCCTTTGGGACGAAACTGTGTCATTTGGACCCAACCTCCCGATATTGACTGCAAGGGCACTGTCTCTTCTGAACGAAAGGGGCTCTGAGCATAGTGTCTTCTTCTTGCGGTGGGGCGAAGGAACACAGAGGCGGATGTTGAGTTTGGCGCTCAGCCATCGAATAGCAGAAGCTCGGATGCAAGTTTCAGCATGCTTTCTGATGCCAAAGTTATTTTCAGCCATCCATCGGACCCGGAATTCCTTTTGAGGCTCCGATTCGCGATTATGTACAATGCACGGAAACCAATATGTTTAGTTTTGTGGAGGACTTAAGACTCGCACACACAAGCACACTGACTACACGCATATCGGCTGACATGTAGAGGAGTGTATGATTCTGCTTCCTGTTGCTGACATTCTCCCAGTGTTGAAAGCTGATGAGCGCGCTAAGCTTGATGGCTGGACCTCCGTTGTGGCGTTTCTGGCAAGAAGTGTGGGCCAGGCCCGTGCCCTTTTGGCACCTGATGGAGAGCCCTCCTTGATTGGACCTTGCCCAGATGCGATCGACCTTTTTCGAAGACCTCTTGCATTGTGGTCTTTTGAGCCTGGTTCTGCCACAAATCTGGACATTGAACCCTTGGAAGAGACCCTTTGCGTGGCACTCTTCACAAAGAAGCTCAGAGAAGATCCGGAGATTCTGGAAACGGTTTTGAGGGAGATCGACGTGCAGGGTCTTACATTGGTAGGACTTCGTTTGGTGATCCCTGACCTTGTCTCTGCATCTGCTGCTGTTTCTGTGTCTTTGAAAGCTGCTGTGAAGCCACATGAAGAAGCCTTGCTGCTGGCTCTCCGTGGGCCCCATGCACTGGCGCTCTGGCGGGTGATGCTGGGCCCTTCAGATCCGGTCTTAGCAAGGCAGACAGATCCCCAGTCGCTCAATGCGAAGTTTGGTGGGGAAAATCGTAGCGAAGCGCTGGCCTTTGCGCCGCCCAGCAGTTTGGGGAAGGCAGCAGCGGATGTGGCATGGGCCTTTGGGGGACGAATTGAAGCAGAGGAGGCCATCCTTCCAAAGGAACCTCTCCATGGAATGCAGGTGGCAGCTCCCAAGACACTCCGATGAGCCAGATTATTCATGTATGTTTTTGGCATGGGCTGATTCTTGTTTACCACAGGTAACTCCAAGCAGAGCCTAGAGGGCTTAGCGGCGCCATCAGTAGGATCAATCTCATGTTGATCCGTTCATGTTGATCGGTTCCCAGCCCTTGGACCGCTTTGTCTTAGGATCTATGCCTTTGAGATCTCTGGACCACTGTCCTTTACATCCAGCGGTCCCTTAATGGGTGCCCTCCTACTGCGCTGCGGCCGCGTGTTGAACATTGAAGGTGGGTAACTGAACAGTGTTTTCTTTCCATGCAACTTGTAGCATCTAGACAGACTTTTGAGTAGATGTGAACATTATTGAGAGGTTTGAAGCGTGATATAGCACATGCCAACGCCATTACTGGAAGTCATCAGCCGCAGCTGGCACTGCTTTGAGCAGGTGCAGGACCCCGGCTTGTGGTGCATGCGATGCGGGAGGGAGGAGCTGATTTCCTGAAACACTGCAAGCTCTCACCACCTCCAGGCAGGTGACCTCTCAAATGCAGCCAAACAACAAAAAATGATGGAAAAAGATATTAAAGGTGCTCCGATTGGCGTAACAGCCA